CTACCACTGTTAAATCAAGTACACTAAAGTACAAAGTCTAAGAACAAATCATTTGTACTGTCAGTACAGAATTCATTTGATCACGTAAAATTGATAAAAACAAAGATATTGTAATATATAGAGGAGGCATAGTTAACATTTGTGACATTTTTCACATAATCATTACTAACGCCATCTATTGATAGATCCTCAAAATTAATTGCGTAAAGTTAACTCGTATACCTTTCAGAGAAGATAGCGGTTTTGTTCACTATATCTTCTATATATTTTTTAAATATCTTTGGGCAAAAACAATTTACAATTTACTAAGAAATAAGTACAATATTCCATACCTGTATAACATCCTCTCTTGTCTATCCGCTTCCACGTAAATTCTATAATACATGAAGATCATGATAACACCAGGAATCCAGAAGCTGACACTGCTAGATATCACCGCATACACTTTGTTCACAGTAAAACTGCAGACCTTCGGATGACGTCGTCTAAAATCCAAATGCTCATGAGTTGTGTACCATCCAGCGAATATTGGTAAAAAGGATACTAAAGCTGGGCTACACCAGACAACAGCCAACATAATTCCCAACTTCCCACTAGTCATAATCAAAGGGTAATCCAAAGGTTGAACTATAGCGTAATACCTATCAACACTTATACAACAAAGATGTAAAATCGAAGCTGACGAGAAATATACATCCAAGGAGTTCCAAACATCGCACATAAAGTACCCGAACAACCATTCCCCATTGGTAATTTCAACACTGAAGTTAAAACACATAGCCCAGATAGCAACCAACATATCCGCCAACGCTAAAGACACGACAAAATAATTTGTGATGACCCTTAATTTTCTATGTCTCATAACCGAAACTATAACCAATAAGTTTCCGAATATAGCTGCTAATATTATAAACAGCATTATAATACATTTTAAAATAATAAAGAATACAATAATAGCATCGTTTTCGAACTGGTTGCTGTAAACCAAATCATTAGTCGTCTCGTTTATTTCGAGAGACTTATTAACGTAGCTATCCGTTAGATACATCGATGTTGAAATAAAATCTAAACTTATGTTCTCAGAGTTGTCAGTTAAGACAATATCAACTTTCATGTTTCACATTTTGTTGCATTTGATTGATTTAAGTCATATTTATTTCTTTAGTCAAAGAGAATTTGCTGGTCGTGTGAAGATATACGTTGATGCTGTTTCCCATTCTGTTGTTTTGTTGACCTGAAAAGAAAAAAATAAATTACCTTTCTAACTAACTGATTGTAAATAAGAATCTGAATCAAATAACATAACATAATTTAGAGGGCGCGCACGCCTTTGATTTCGCGAAAGTTTAGATGGATGGATGGATGTTTGTTACGGTTTATAGTCTAAACGGCTGAAAGGATTACGATGAAATTTGGTACAGATGTAGAGGATAGTCTGGAAGAACACGTAGACTACTCACTTTTGTGTTTTTTAAATTCCACGCGGACGAATACGCGGGTGAAAGCTTGTTTTTAATAAATACGAGTATTTTTGACCGACTTCCCAAAAGAAGGAGGTATTCAATTCGTCGGTATATTTATTTTTTTTTTTTTTTTTTTTTTTTTTTTTTTTTT